ATAATAGGGAAAATACGTCAAGAAAGACGATAATAGGGAAAATACGTAAAAACTTTGTGGGCTTTAATTTAACAGTACGAAAGAGAAAAAACATTCTGAATAACTGTAGATTTAATAATCAAATTTTCACGTCACTCAATCTTAATGGTTCGAATGCATGACCTCAAATACGTTAATTAATTAGTGCAGACAATGTGTTCAATTACCAAATCCTATATAAAAACGTACTTTCTCTTGATAGACATACCTTTTTTTTTTTTTTTTGACGGATTCGGATTCTTTTTCTCGAAACATGGGAGTTAGCCTTAATTTGGGAAATATCGTCCCTATAGTTTGGTCAGGAGTTTTAGCGGCAATGCGCAAATTGCAGCCTTTATTTCTAAACCGAGCTGGTATCTATCGATAAAAAGTTGGCTGGGCTTCAAATCGCTATTAAACTCTCAATCGGAAAGTTCGAAAATCGGACCGTCGTAAAAAAATGGACCACCCTAAATAACTTTAGATTTAATAAACGGATCTTCACGTTCTAAGACTCATTATTAATTGTTCGAAAAAGTGGTCTCAAATATGCTAATTAATTAGAGCACACGATATTTTAAGTTCGATATTGTACTTTCTCTGAATAAACATATCTTTTTTTCGATGGCTTCGGATTTCGGACCCCCAAAATATGGGGGATAGCCGCAATCTGTGAAATATGATCCCCATTGTTTGATCAGGAGAGTGATCCTAAGTTTAGAAACTTCAATGTTAATTTTAATTCTTGCGTATTTTGCCATGTCTCGGAAACTTTCTAAGAAAATTGACACTTTTGCTCAGTTATAAAATACGTCTATCCAAAGATAAATTCCATGCAAAAAATAAATTTCAGTTATTTATTGCTTCATTAATTAACAGGCCAAAAAAAGTTTGAACTGTAAAGAATACAAAATTTACGTCATTTTAAAGTATGCAATTTTGCATGGAAAAATTTTCAAAAATAAATCGAATTGAGAGAAATCGGTTGATTTCTCTCAATTCGGTTGAATAGTTCCTAAAAAATTGAATTTTAAAGAAGTCGTATATTTGCTTCAGAAATTGAATTTTAAAAATACGACTTCTTTAAAAACCAATTTCTCAGGAACTATTCAACCAATTTTCCTTAAATTTTCAGTTTGCCATGTAAAATTGCATATATTAAAATGCCGTAAAAATTGTATACCTTACTTTTCAAAATGTTTTCGAGAGTTACTTAATAAAATAATAAATAACTAGGAGGCTTCGCCCCCTACTCGCTGGCGCTCACCGACCCCCGGAACTGCTTTCGCAGTTCATTTCGGATTGCTTCGCAATCTAATGCTCGCTTTGCTCGCTCATTGGATACGTTCTTAACGTCTAG